CTACTGGCTGTCCGAGGCTCGGGAATGACCGGGCTACCGGTAGCCTGAGCCACGGGCCTTGACAACCGGTAGGTACTGGTGGTTTAAATAAGTCGACTAGAGTCCAAGACTTGGCCAAGATTCTCTACAACAGGGTCTAAGGCTGAAAAGTTTTTCCAGCAAAGACTACCGCAGAAGACCAAACCAGCAGATCAGGCGATTCAGGATTATCTGACAGTCAAGGAACTGAGAGGAGCTGATTGGAGGTAGTTCAAGTAGTCGAGCAACAAGTAGCAGAGCAAAAAGGAAACCAGAATAGAATCCAAGGAGCAAAATTAGGCCAGGCTAACTTAAGCAGGGGGTGGTACATCCTTCCATCCGGAAGTAATCAATGTCGTCCTTCAGACTTTCCTACCATAAAGGGGAGGAGCGTGTGTGAGTACTCCATTGTAATTCCTTTGACTTGCCGGGGGAATAGGAACCGGACTGATGCTCCCCAGAATGGAAAAGGAGCCAGAACCGTAAGGTTCTGTATTAAAAAAAAAGCCTTGGCAAGGCTAGGGTTGAGGGTTCAGACTTCAAATCCCTTTTTCTGCTCGTCAGCTTCACTGCCTGGCCATAAAAAAATGTTTCAGTTATTCCCTGCTCCTTATATGGGTTGTTAGATACTACTCTCCTAGTTTTTATCCCATCTTTGACGTATTGTTTTTTTAATAATTGCGTGAATCAATCCCAAAGTTGTGCTGTAGATGCTGCCATGCCATCATGCCCCTGGGCACCTTCTTTCCCCCCCAGATACAAAGGAATCTCGTTCTGTGGAGCAGAAGATGTTCAAAATGTTTCCTAATTCTCCCACTTCGGAACAATCGTTGGAATGGTGATTCTTCAACCTCCCTCATTCTCCGACGTCCGAACGATCATCTTTCAAAGAGAGATTGAAGTCACTGCATCTCCATGACCATAAGCCGGGATCAGAAAATCCCATCACTTGACTCTGCCAACCAGGATATATCTCTTGTCCACGACTCCTTCCCCTACCATGTCGCTGTGAGCATGAGCACCTATCCCCATCCTACCTCCAACGGCTCTGCTGATTTCTCTCAGCCTCAGTGACAATCTGCCTTAGCGTCTAGAAGGCTAGAAACTACATCAAGCACCAGCAACTGTGGTGTGGCATACTGATATCACACGGGCCCCAGTTAGGGCCCGGTTCTGAAATAGGCTCAGTTTAGGCCTAGGAACAGGTCACGACGGCCCAGTTTAGGTCCAGGTAGGCGTAGGACCCATCGGTTCAGTTTAGGGTTCGGTAGGCCTCATTTAGACCCCACCAGACCCAACGGCTAGTTTAGGCCAGGTCGGTTCATCGGTAGGCCCAGCCGGCGGCGCAGTTTTGGCGCCCGGTTTCAGATTCCGAAATCGGATCTGAACCATTGGGCCTGATCAACGGTCCAGACCCGAAGGACCGCAGTAGGACTGAGGCCGACCCAGCACTATATCAGCTGGGTACCAGCCTCAGTCGGTAGGTTAGTAGAGAGGAGGTTAGTCTTCAGGATTAGCGCAGCGCAGCCGCGTTAGTGTGAGCAGCGAGGAGAGATCAAGAACAGCGGCGAGGAGGACTTAGCGCAGCAGCTGGAGCAGCGCCAGCCACCGGCCCAGCCCGTGGCCTAGCGCCCGCCTGCTGCAGCGCCATAGCTACCCAACCAGGTACCAGGGAGGAAGGCCTTGCCTTCTCTCCCCTTTTCCTCCTCCGCCACTCTCCCTCTCTC